CCGCGGTGGTGGTGCTCAAGCGGCGGGTGCAGGCTGACGGTGGATCCGCGGGTTGGCGTTGATGCGGTGGACGACGCTGCGCTGGCAGTGTCTGAGGTGCTGCTGCTGCTGCTGCTGCTGCAGTCGCAGGTTGCTGCGCTGCGGATGCTGGACGAACTCACATGTGCGCTGGGCGGCGTGATGGTGATGACCTGCTGGCTGTGCTGCTCCTGTTCCTGTTCCTCCTGGTGCTGGTGCTGTTCCTCCTCTGTTCGTCGCTCCTGCTCGAGCTGCAGCCGTTCTTGTTGCAGAGCGTCGTTGCTGTCGGGGCACGCGTCGCAGGTGTGTGTGGACCGCATCCTGCTCAGGAAGGGGGCCTGCTTGCGATGCTGCTGCGCGTGCATGTCAAAATGGTGATAGCAGCCGGTGGGCTGCGGCTTCTTGTTCTGGGCGGTGGCGACGGCCTTGGTTGGCGAAGGCGATCGTGGGTAGTGCAGGCTGTGGGGGCGGGAGTCTGCCACAGACGGGCACCGAAGCCGGATGACTGCCCGTTGTTGTTGTTGTTGGTGTGACGTCTGCGCCTCAGCGTGCGCGTGCAGGCAAGGCAAGGAGGATGACCGGTGCATGGTTGGTTTGTTGAAGTGGTCTTATTGTGGCTGTGTGGTGTTCACAACGCGTGTGATGAAAGCACTTAGCCTGCGTATTGATTGGGGCGGTGCCAAGGGGAGGGGGGAGGGAAGATCACTTGTGGTGAGAATAAATGCAACCACATCAAGCCACCACACCGCTCATGAGTGTGTTTGTTCGTGCACCAGATGCAGACGCAGAGGAGGACGACGGCATTGCTGCGTTGGCTGTCTGTGTGTTGCCAGTGTGTTGGGTGTGGGCGGTGACTGACTCAGCACAAAAAAAAAAAAAACGGAGGACCGCGGTGTCCAAAAATAGGAGTGGGAGAAAATAAACAAAAGATATTGCAGGAAATTCAGCAGGCGTTTCAGTTGGTGCTGAAAATGGCCGCAACCGCAACGGCGACAGCGACAGCCAGAAATGCGGTGGCTGGCTTGGCAACAGCTGCGCCCGACGTGGACGCAAACACCACGCCCTCTGCATTATGTGTGTGTGCGTATGCATGTGTGTGCGTATGTGTGTGTGTGAGCGGAAGGGGGAGGGGGTGGAAGCACGCACACAACAGCGCAGGAGCATGCAATGCACATGTACACACACACACACACACACACACACACACACACACACACACAGACACGCACCTGTGTTGACGAGCGAAGTGACAAGGCGGGATTCAATGTTGCATTCATTGGTGCCGCGAGCAATCTTAAAGTAGCCGTCGATTCCAAAGCCAGTGCCCCAGCTGGCAATGTAGGTGCGTGGGCGCGTGTGAAAGTGAGTGAGTGTGTGAAAGTGAAAGTGAGTGAGTGAGAGAGTGCGTGAGTGAGTGAGTGAGTGTGTGAGTGTGCTGTTTGTGTGTGCGTATGTGTGGGCGGAAGAAGTGCACGTGCCATAGCGCACCTGTTCTGGACCAGCCAATATGGCGTGTTGTCCTCAACACCCCAGCCCACGATGATCACGGCGTGCCAGCCAACTGTGCACAAACAACCAGTGTGGGGAGAGCGATTCGCGCACGCAGCAGCAGCAACCAAGGCGTTGGGATGAGCTAATGCAGTCCAGAACACAAGCAGATGCACAGAAGCAAACGAAGAAGCGCAGAAAGAAAGGAAAGCAGAAGCACATATAAACAAAGACACAAACAGAGACACAGCCAGACACAAACAGACACGGACACACAAACACACAAGCTGCAGCGCAACCGACTTGAGTCACTGCCGTCGTCTGGGCACGTGTAGACGCCGCTGTCGTACTCGCCAAAGTCCTCAAACACCTCGTAGCTGGCGAGCACTGGGCCGTGTTGCATAATGTCGCGCTGCACTCCAGACAGATACACGGTGCACCGGCAAACGAATCAGCACATCGTGATGACGGTCGTCTTCTACGCACACACACACGCACGCACACACACACACACACACACACACACACACACACACACACACACACCTGGATTGTCTCAATGTCGCTGCTGCTGTGGTAGTAGCATCTGTCTCCGTTGACGGTGGCGTTTGACGTGGCAGTGCACTCGCTGACCATCGTCTGCACATCCGAGCACTCCAGCGGGTCCGTCCCGTCCTTGCTCACATACTTCACGCACAGCTCAGGCGTAATGCCTATTTTGTGTGTGTGTGTGTGTGTGTGTGTGTGTGTGTGTGTGTGTGTGTGTGTGTGTGTGTGTGTGTGTGTGTGTGTGTGTGTGTGTGTGTGTGCGTGCGTGTGTGTGTGTGTGTGTGTGTGTGTGCGTGCGTGTGCGTGCGTGTGTGTGTGAATGCTTGCGTTCACGTTTGTTGGTGTAGACAAGCCAAACGACTCTCGATACCGACACACACACCCACACGCCCCACTCAATTTCGCACGTCATCACGGACCTTCGTCTTGCATGAAGCGGAAAGCGCCGTCCGGGTAGCCGCCGTCGCAGCCGAGGGAGCAGTAGCCTGAGCAAGCACGGGCGTGAGTGAGTGAGTGAGTGAGTGTGCGTGTGTGTGTGTGAGGGTGATTGTGGCACGGCAAAACTACGCGGATGCAGAAGGCAAGTATGCAGGTCAGACACAAGAGGAGAGAAGAGGAGAAGAGGAGAGGTTAACACACGCAGTCACACATGCACACAGACACACACACGCACACACACACACACACACGCACAGATACATATGTACTCACAAGTGGAGGAAGGGGAGCTGCACCTGTCACCGGCCTTGGTGTAGCAAATCTGGTCCGTGCAGCTGACGAGCGCCTGCGGTGCAAGCTCGTAGCCCTGGCCAATCTGCTCGCTCTTGATGCACATGCGTTGGGCCAGAACACCTGCCGCGGTATTGCGTCATGCAGTAGTCGTCGTGAATGCGACATGCAGCGAGCACAGCATTGCGTCGTGTTGTTTGTGGTGGTGTTGACACTGGTCGCTTGCAGGACTGGCGTTGGCGGGCACAGGATACGGCGCAAGCGCGCAAACACGAACACACATAGACACGCACGCAGATGGTTTGGAAGCAAAGGAAGGTCAACACGCACCTGTGGTGGCAAAGGCCCAGCAGGAGCCGCAGGATCCTTGCTGGAGGATGTCTGGCTTGCACTTGCTGTATGCCTGAAGGTAGCGAGCAAATGGTCCGGCGTAAGCGAGGAGGTGGTTGTGTGTGTGTGATACGTGTGCGTTGTGTGCGTGAGAGAGAGAGTGTGTGTGTGCGTGTGTGTGTGTGTGTCTGGTAGGTGGGCAAGCAAGTGACACCAAGCTACATACCAACAACAACAACAACAACAACAACAACAACAACTTAAACAACAACAACAACAACAACAACAACAACAACAACAACAACAACAACAACTTATGTAAACAACAACAACAACTTAAACAACAACAACAACAACAACAACAATAACAACTTAAACAACAACAACAACAACAACAACAACTTAAACAACAACAACAACAACAACAACAACAGCAACAACAAACAACACACACACGCATACCTCGTGGGAGTTGTAGGAGTCTGGGATGGGCATGCTGGTGTTGAGGTTGGCGACGCTCGGGGTGGAGGCGCACAGGCCAATGTTCTCTTCGCTGGAGCCGGACAGTGCATCAAGGTCATCGCGTGCAATTGGGTTGGCGCGCGTGTTGAACTTGCGCAGCGAGTTGCCGGAAGGGCCGCTGTCGTTGTTGAGGAAGTTGGACAGCCGCCCACGGCCGCCACGGGCCTCCACGCCCACAGCGACGGCAACCGCCAGCACCAACATCATCTTCATCATCATCCTCATGTTCATCTTCATCCTCAGCATCAGCAGCACAACGCGAAAATGAAAACCGTCGTCGTTTCACTTTCTGTCCTGCCCTTGCTTGACAATTTCGCTCGCGTTGCAAATTGCAGATGACAATTGCACATGCAACTTACACAAGTTTCCACTCCGCATTCACAAGTTTTCACACAGCAGCACACACGCACGCACGCGTGTGCAACGAACCAACCAAGATGGTAAGCCTCGTTCTTCTTCCTGCTCTCGTTCTTCTTCCCCTCTCCCTGTCCTCTCCCCCCTTCCTTCCTCTGTCCAAACTGTGCATTCGAGCATGTCTGTCTTTGGCGGTATCCCCACGCCCTGACATGTTAAGCATATCAGTGAAATCAACCCACAATGGAGCGATCTCCAGTGTTGCCAGCCCTCTTTTCTTCCCGTGCTGTCAGCGCATCGAACCCGCCCCACACTCTTCGTTGTTGTGTTGTGTGCAACAAGCGTAACTTTCTTCTCTCTCTTTTTTTGTGCGTTGTTGGTTGTATTTTTGTTCCCTGCTGACTCACCACTGTCAGTGCCTTTCCTTTTGCCCTTCCACCCCGCTTTCATTTCATTCCACTCTCGCACACGCCCCACCTTGCACTGATTCACCCTCGATCGTCGCCACACCCACTCACACGCACGCACCCCTTCCCTTCCCCTCCCTTCCCCACCTCTCTCTGTGCTCACTCACCAATTGAACAGAATGCCAACAGCACCGTGTGCAGCGTGCAAGGACACGGTTCCGCGTGTCGATTTCACGCACCCAAACCTACGGGATGAGGTGACCCGGCACCTCCGGTCAGACGGCGTTGTGGTGGTGGAGAATGTCCTTTCTGCCGCCGAATGCGACGCCACCATGGAGCACCTCTTCGACTCCTTCCATGCCCTGTGCCCGGCCGTCACGCGCGACCCGGAATCGTGGCAGCGCGGCAACCTGCCGTCCGGCCCTCCCACCGTTGGCATGTACCACAGCCTGGTGGCCCAGTTCCCCATTGTCTGGCGCATCCGCAGCGACGACCGCGTGCGCGCCGTCTTCCAGCACGCCTACAGCGGCCTGCGCGGGCGCGAGATCACCCGCTTCGTCACCAGCTGCGACGGCATCAACGTCAAGCCGCCCACCGCCCCCTTTCACAACCCAGACCGCGACTGGGCCCACGTCGACCAAACCCACGACATTGACAACATCTCCAAGTGCATCCAGGGCCAGGTCGTGCTCACCAACACCACCGCCGCCTTCCGCTGCTCCCCAAAGTCCCACACCCACATGCAGGAGTTTCTTGACGCGGAGCGTGCGGGCGGCCGCAAGGTCGTCGGCGACTTTCACCTCTTCACCCGCCAGACCCTGGATGACATCAAGACGCGCGTGTGCGACGAGGGCGGCGCGTTTCAGACGTGCGTCCACACCAACAAGGGCAGCCTCATCCTCTGGCTCTCCTCCCTCGTGCACTCTGCCAAGGGCCAGGACGAGGGCGCGCCCATTGACCGCAGTGACCCCTGGTCGCAGTGGCGCGGCGTCGTGTATGTCTGCCACCGCCCACGCGAGGACGTCACGCACGAGCACACCGAGGTGCTGGAGAAGGCGTTTGAGACAAACCGGGTCACCCCGCATTGGGGCTCTTCCTTGTTCTCGCTGCCCGTTCGCCGCAGCACGAGCGAGGACACGGCGCTGCTGGCGCGCGTCTCGGAAAACCCCAAAGAGGCCTACGACATTGAGCAGCTGCGCCCGACGCGCACGCCTCGCATCAACGCCCTCTTGCTTGGCGAGGAGTGGCCCACCGACACCAGCGATCCCGACCTCGCACAGCCGCCCATCACGCACGACACACTTGTCCACTGACCGATGATTGCCTTCCTTGTATGAGTGTGTATGAGTGCGTATGAGTGTGTGTGTGTGTGCGCGCGTGTGTGAGTTCTTTGCTGACCCTTTTGCTTATTGCTGTACTTGCTCTGCCCCTTGCTTTTTGAATTTCATCCTTTCTCCCTAATCTCCCCTGCGTGCTTGCATGTGTGTGTGCGTGTTCTTGTTGTTGTTGCTGTTGGGCAACTCTTTTGTTAGCTCTTGCTCTGCCTCTTGCTGTTGTCCAACCTTTGTTCCATTCGCGTTACCTCGCTTCCCTGTGTCAATGTCATGCGTGTGTTCATGCTTGGCTTGGCCCCTTGTGTTGATTGCGCCCACTTGCCCCCACTTGCTTTGCCCCTGCCTTTCTTTCGTGCTTTCTTCCGCCCTCACTGCTTCCTTGCATGTGTGGTGTCAATTTCATTTCGTTACCTCTTGTTTTCACAGTGTCTGAGTCACATAAACAAGCACGCACCAAGCACCAAGTCCAGCCAGCGTTTAACATTAACAGCACGTGTTGCCAACAACCACCACCTGCTCGCTGCGTTTGTCTGTGAAGGGAGGGTGAGGAAAGAAAGCGAACCAGACCAAGCAAAGCGCCGGCCTGCTTGCGTGCTTGCGCTTGAGGTGAGGTGGAAACGTAACAGAGAAGCAAGGATGAACGATGGAGAGTGGCAAGAGAAGCAGTTAAAGGACGACAAAACACTAAAGTAACCGTGGTGGCAAAGTCAACAAAACGCGACAGGGAATGAGCGAAAAGTGCGTGTGTATGTAAAGTGTGTGTGTGTGTATGTGAAGTGGGTGCGGTTTGGTGGAGGTGACATCAAGCTAGCTAGCCACAACAATCACTGAAGAACGCAGTTGCTCCTCTGCTTCGTCTCCGCAACCTGTGATGGAACGGAACAGCGCGTGTGATGGAGGCGGTTGTGTCAGCGGCGACTCAACGAATCAAAACGAACAACGCAGTTAAGCACACAAGGCAATCCAGAACACACATAGACAGACAGACAGACAGACAGACAGACATACAGACACAACCCCACCACACACATGCACACGTGTACACAGACGTAAACGCACACCCACACATATATGGACTCACATGAGCCAAGGCCTCCTGCACGGTGAGTTCGCCACGCTTGACGAGGTTGAGCAGCGCAACGCGGCGGCTCTCATCCAGCGCTGCAGGAGACACGCAGGAATGCAGGAACGCAAGGGGAGTGGCGTAAGAAAGGAGGGCAGTGGCATGCATGACGGTCGTCATCGCGCGCGCACACACACACGCACACAGCGCAGCTCAAACGTACAGAGGAGATCTTCGGGTCGCAGCACTTGACCGTCGACGTCAATGGCGCCCATGTTGTCGGCGTGCTCCAGCCGCAATGACTTGGACGCTTTCCGAACTGTGAAAGAAACAAAACAACACAACAGCAACAGTGTGAGCAAACACACACATGCACACGCACACGCACACATGCACACGCACACATGCACACGCACACGCACACATGCACACGCACACGCACACACACACACACACACACACACACACACACACACACACACACACACACACACACACACACGCGCGCGCGCGCGCAAAAGACGCACTGGGCACCGACCTGATTTGCGCCATTCCAGTTTCTGCGCCTCTGATATCGCGCGTCGGTTCCCGCGCTTCGTGCTGTCCTTGCGCATGGACACGCCCTCCCGCTGCCTGCTGTCAATGTTCTCCTCCCCATCGTCGTCATCATCGTCGTCATCATCGACAGCACCTTCGGCGTTGTCATGGCCACCGCGAGCGCCTGCGCGGTGGCTGTCCGGGCTGGTGCCTGCGCCGTTGCTTGCACCGCTGCTGGCGGACGAGCCAGAGACCATCAGCACGCCCGAGAGCGCCTCCACTTCCTCGGCAGTCGCGCGTTTGCGGGCTGAGCTGGTCCGCCGCCGCCCATCAACACCTGCAATGACGGGGTGCGAGAGAGAATAAGAAGAGGAAGAGGAAGAGAAGAAGAAGAAGAAGAAGAAGACAAAGAGGCAAGGGGTAAGATGAAAGATAATGAATGCCATTCGCAAACTCACAGTCCAGCATAGAACAAGCAGGCGAAACCCAGCCAAGCAAACACACAAAGCCCCCCCCCCCCCGGAAAAAAAATACCGAAGCACACGTACGAACACTGCGATCACACATCGACAGACATAAGCACAGCAGACACATGAGCAGCACACTGAAAGGCACTACAGCACCTCCTAGGACGTCGTTGTCGGTCGAACTGGTCAGCATGTCTGTGACAGACTCCTCCCGTTCCAGGAACCCGTTGAGATCTGCCAGTGCATCCATCGCTTCCCGAAACTCGGGCAGCACAGGTGCCTCCTTCTTGTTACCGCCACGCACCAGCTTTCGCCTCCGCGGGCCTGCGGGCTTGGCTGCCGACGCTGGTGACGACGATGACGCTGATGCTGACGGTGTCGGGCCGTTGGCCGCTTTGCCGGCTGCAGCGGACGTGGCTGCGTGGTGTCGTGGGATGGGCTTCTCCTCTGAAACACTCAGCTCATCGTCCATGGACACGGTGCGCTGGTGCGTGTGCGCTGCCGGGTTGAAGATGTTCGTGCGAATCTCTCCGCTGCCAGCACTGCTCGTCGCCGCATCCAGGCGCGAAGCACCATCACCATCACCACCATCACCACCATCATCACCGTCATCACCGTCATGAGTGGATGCACTGCCGCCCTCGCTCTTCATCACCGCTGCACGCGCCGCTGCCAGAGGCGACGGCACCTTGCCTGCAGCCACGGGCCCGGCCTGTGGCACATCGTCCGTAGATGAGCAGTTCTCGTTGGAGTCCGTGGGCCGCGACCGCCCGAGTTTGATGCGCACCGTGTTCTGCCAGGGATTCAGATGTGACTCCAAGTCCTCCAGCGCGGACATGGCGTCCGCAAACTCCGGCAGCACCTTTGGCTTGTGGGCGTTGCCGCCACGCACCAGCTTGCGTCGCCTCGGCTTCGGCTCATCCGCACTCCCAGCCACCGCCATGGTTGCTGTCGCTGTTGTTGTTGTTGTTGTGGTTGTTGTTGCGGTTGTTCCTGAGGCTGTTGCTGTGGTCGCTGTTGTGGTGGTGGCTCTTGCTGTGGCTGCTGCTGCGACGGTCGGTGTCGCTGGCTGCGACGTTGTGGATGAGGACCCAAGTTCGCCGCCAATGGAGATGGTGGACGTCCCTTTCGTCTCCGCAGACAGCTGCCCTGCCCGCCGCGCTGGTTTCGGCGACACCGGTGGCGGCGTTCGCCCCTCACCGCCGCGATCCGTCTTGTCATCGCTGCTGCTGTCGCCATCATGCCTTCTCTCGTTTGCGGCATCGTCTGTCTTCGCGCTGCCAGCGTTGTCATCACCACTTGGGCGCGTGTCTTCGGCGTGTGCCCCGGCCTGCACGGGCCCGGCAACGGCAACAGCGGACGGGGCACTGCGCGACGGGCGAATGCGCACCGTTGACGTCCACGGATCAAGGTACTTCTCCAGGTCCGCTAGCGCATCGACAGCCTGCTTGAACTCCGGCAGCACAGGTGCTTCCTTCTTGTTCCCGCCGCGCACCAGCTTTCGCCTCCGCGGCGCGCCGTCTCCTGCTGTTGTCTGTCGCCGTGCTGGTGCTGGCGCTGGTGCTGCTGGTGCTGGTGCTGGTGTTGATGTTTCGCTCGCCTTTGCCGCCGCTGCAGTCGCCGCTGTTGCTGCCTGCCCCTGCTGTTGTTGTTGTTGCTGCTGCTGCTGTGGTCGGTGTGTTGGTGTGGGCACGCCCGTGGACACTGTGGCTGAGCGGCCCGTGCGCGGCTTTGGCTTTGGTCGCGGCTTCGGTTTCGGAACGGGCGCACCGGGCGTTGCTGTAGCAGCTGTTGTTGCAGAGGCTGCAGACGACGCCAGCGACGACGACGATGACGACGAGAGGAGAGACGGCGATGCTGCTCGGAGCTGTGATGACGGCCGTGGCTTCACCGGTGGAGGCACAGGCGACTTGGTGCTCTTGCGGCGCTCAACGCGCTCAGATGAAGCTGCAGCTGATGTTGATGTTGATGATGTTGTTGATGCTGGTGTGGCTGTATCATTGGAGGAAGGCTTGGTTTTGGGCGGTGAGGAAGCAGGCGAGCTCTTCTTGAACAGGCCCAGGAAACCGCCACCACGCTTCGCTGTTGAGGTCTTGTCCTCAGCTGCCTGCGCCTGCGCCTCCTGTTCTTCCTTCTTCTTGGCTTCATTTTCTTGCTGCTGCTGCTGCTGCTGCTGCTGCTTCTTCTTCTTCTGTTCCTCGGCGTCATCCTCCTTCTTCGTCGCGGTGGGCGTGGTGCCGAACAGACCACCGCCGCCGCCACCGCCAAACGCAAACGAGCCAAAGTCGAGCGCCTGCACACGTTCGTTGCACGCGTCCAGCTCCTTCGTCAGCTCCTCGTCGCGCTTGCGCTTCTGCTGCTCCTCATACTCCTGAATCTCCCTCAGCTTGCGCATGTGTTCCTCCTCCTCCTGGCGGCGCTGCCTCTCGTGCTCTTCCTTCAGCTGCTGCTGCCGCCGCTGTTCTGCCAAGCGCCGCTCGGCAGCGCGCATACGAAGCTCTTCGCGCTCCTCGGGGCTCAGGTCCTCGTCATCAAACACAAGCGCAAACGCATCGCCATCCTCCTCGTCCGTATCGTCGCCGCCTGCACACGCGAGCATCGTGTTTTGTTGAGGGGAAAAAGAGTGAAGGTGGGGAAGGGGGCGTGTCGGTGAGGGAGGTGCAAGGTGCAGGTGATTGTGGTCACATTCGTCGAAGTGGTCTTGCTCATCAACATGGATGAACAACATGTGCACACACACACACACACACATGCACATGCACATGCACACACACACACATGCACATGCACACACACACACACACGCGCGCGCGCGCGCGCACACACACCTGCGCCGAGCCGTTTGCCGTGTTTGGGGCCAACGGTGCCGACGACGGAGCCAATAGAGACGATGCTGTCCCGCCTGCTGTTCTTCTTTGCCTTCATGTACTCTTCCTCCAGGCGTTTCCTGCGCTCGTCCCTCTCCCTCTGCTCTGCCTCTTGTTGTGCGCGTTCTTCTTCTGCTCGCTTCTCCTCGTCCGCCCGCTCCCGCTGCACCCGCTCCTCGAGCTCACGCCGCGCCTCCTCCTCCGCCGCAAGCGCAGCCTGGCGCGCAGCCTGTGGCAGTTGGTGTGCGGTGTGGGCGTTGTGCGTGCGTGTGTGTGTGTGTGTTGGTAACGATGAGGAAAGGAATGAGAGTTACTATCATTGCGTGTGCACGTACACACTGACACAGCACACGACAGATGTGGAGTTGAGCGGCCTCACCTCTGCGCGCTCTTTGGCGAGCTGGGCGTCGCGCAGCTGCTTGCGCTTCAGCGTGGCGGCCTCGGCCTGGCATTCAAAGCGGTTGCGCATGTGCAGTGAGAACAGGAAGATGGCGCTGACTTGCCATGGGCACAAGAACAAGGACATGCTCGAACGCCACGACGAATCATGCTCAACACAAAGCCGCGTGTACTCCGACAAAACCGCCACAAGCGAACGCAACACACACACACACACACACACGCACGCACACACACACACACACACACACACACATACACACACACACACAAAGAGCAAGCTGCGGAGAAGACATTACCGCGGCAGCACGGCGTGCGACCTCTTCTGCTTCCCGCGCCGCCGCTTCAGCCGCTTCCCGCTCTTTGCGGACTGGTGTGGTGGGGTGGGGAAAATTGGACAGAGGATGATGGTGTTTGAGCGAAGAACAGCCACATACACATGCATACACGCATGCATAACAAGTACTTCTCCTCACACACACCACACACACACATTCGCACACACACATTCGCACACACGCACACACGCACACACGCACACACACACACGACAACATGTGAGTACGCACTTCGCTCCTGCGCGATGCGTTCTGCCTCTTCGCGCTCCCTGCGTGCGCGTTCTTCGGCCTCGCGTCTCTCCTTCTCCTTCTTCAGGCGGGCCAGGGCGCGCACAGCCAGCAGCCGGCGCGCATTCTTCGTCAGCACCGTGGCCATCGCCACCTGCTTCTCCATCAGCAGCATCAGCTTCTCGCCGTGGTAGTACTTCAGGAACACAAGCGTCAGCCCTGGTGTCCACGGCACAACAGAGGTGAAGGATGTGTGCGTGTGTGCGTGTGTGTGTGTGTGTGTGTGTGTGTGTGTGTGTGTGTGAGGCAAGGTAGTATGTGAAGGAAAGACCGAACATGCACAGACAGCTCAAGAAGCAGGGCACACTCGCACACAGAGCGGCAATGTGTGTCTGTGTGTACAAGTGTGTGTGCATGTGTGTGTGTATGTGTGTGTACAAGTGTGTGTGCATGTGTGTATTTACCGAGCTGTGCGCCCTTGAGGCTGCATCGCTTGATGATGCGCTGGCAGGCCACCCTGAGCTCGCTCGTGTCCTCAACCTCCGTCCAGTCCCGCAGTTCAGAGCCTTTGAACCCAAGCGTCTGGTACCTGCAGTGGAGGAAGAGGAGAGGGGATGATGCGAAGGGAGGACGGGATGAGGGGGACGGGTGGTGGTAATGTTGCAACGCCGCAGACGTCAGTGGATACAAAGAGTGTCACACAACAAACGGCAACAACAGCAGCAACCATAAGTACACACACGCACACACACACAGCACAGCACACACACACGCACAGCACAGCACACACAGCCACAGCCACAGTCGCGTACTTGTTGAGGAAGTCTGCAAAGGGCATACGGATGGAGAAGCCGTCACGGCGAATGCGTGTCGTCTCCAGGACGCCCGTGTATCGCAGCTGCTGCTTCACCCGCTCCCCGACAAAGCTGTGCGCGATCTTCTGGTCGTTGGGCTTGATGCACCTGTGCAGAAAATGCGCGCGCGCGCGCGTGTGAGTGTGGCGGGGTGAATGCGTTGGAATTGTCAAGTGAGACAAAATTCAAGTCTACCACATAGTTGTGTACACACACACACACACACACACACACACACACACACACACACACACACGCACACACACACGCACGCACGAGCATGCCATTTGCGTGTGTGCCTGTACGCACCGGACAAAGTGTGGTTGTGCATGCTGCATCTTGTGCATGAGGTCCAGGAGCGAGTTTTTGAAATTGGCGGACACGGAGAGCTTTGCGTTGTCTCTCAGAGTCGGACGGCGCCTACCACTAGCACGGCTGCTGCCTGGCGGGCGGCGCATTGAGCCCGTACGCGTCATCTTCTCCCGGAACAGATTGGCCAGAAACACGAAGCGCGACTCCCGCATGTTCGTGATGACTGTAACGTATTGGGGCGTGGGAGTGGGTGAGTGGGTGAGTGGGGGAGTGAGTGTACATGTGCGCGAGTGTATGCGCGCATGGGTGAATGTGTTGCGTGTAGGAGTGTGTGAGTGTGAGCGCGCGCGTTTGAGTGCGAGTGCACTGTGATGTTGAAGCGCGAGTTCAAGACTGTCGCGTTGTGCACACCAAACCGCCACATCCCCAAGACCACCTAGCAACACAAGAGCACGACACCAACCGAGCTGGGACAGCGTGTCGCGGTTCTTCTCCAGGAAGGAGTGGCAGTCGTACACGACGTTGCCTGCGTAGTGGTGGATGACGAAGAACGGTCCAAACCCCTTTGTCTCCGAGGGCGTGATTGTGTCTCCCTTGCGCCCGCGCATCGCTATTGTCGGTCGCCGCTGGTGGCTCGTCTCAGGCAGCTGAAGGGGGGGGGGCAGGGGTAGAAGAGGGATTTGGTTGAGATGTGATGTTGGTGGAGGTGTGCATGTGTGTGTGTGTGTGCGTGTGTGCATATGCGCGTGTACGCGCGTGTGTGTGCACGAAGCAAAGAATATGCAGTGGAGTGTGGACGTTAAAGTACGCACCGAGAGCCCTTTCCAAGCACATGAGTCCTTGGCCTTGATGAACTTGCGATGCTGCAGACCACAAGCGGCAGGACGACACCCATCAGCAACGACAGAGTGAGCGCACACAAAATGCGCACAATCAGTATGGACACACAGACACACACGCACACAACACGAGACGCACACAGTGCACACAGACACACACAACACGAGACGCACACACACGCACACAACACGAGACGCACACACACGCACACAACACGAGACGCACACACACAGTGCACACACACACACGCACAACACGAGGCGCACGACGCACCAGGCTGGTTGGGGAGGCGCGGGGGAAATTTGACTCCTCATCAAGGAGCGCAAAGAGGCCGAGGGGTTTGCCGAGAATCATGTCAAGCAGACCCGCATTGTCCTTGTACCTGCATCAATCGACACGGCATTGGGGAGTGAGTGGATGAATGATGAGTAGAAGGTCTGGCAGAGGATGGGGAGAAGCGGTGATCAAGCACACACACACACACATGTACACACACGCATGCGCACAAACACAACAAACAGCAAGGGAGCGCGCACTTGATGGCTGTGAGCGGGAGTGCCTCCTCCTCGTAGAGACTTTGTTCCCAGGCGAAGATGTGCTGGTTGAAGTAATACTGCAGCTGCTCGTTGGCCGTGTTGATGCAAAACTGCTCAAACGAGTTGTTCTCAAAGTTCTCAAAGCCAAAAATGTCCAGGATGCCAACCTGAGAGAATTGTGCGCGTCGGTGTGTGTGTGTGTGTGCGTGTGTGCGTGTGTGTGCGTGTATGTGTGTGTGTGTGTGTGTATGTGTGCGTGTGAGTGAGTGTGCAAGTGCGTGAGAGAAAGATGTGCGGGATTGTGAGTGTTTGCGCTTGTGCGCATGTGTACATGTGTGCAGGCGATTATGTACATGGTTGGAATGTCTGACAACAACGTGCGCGGGAAGCAGTTGACCACACACACGCACACAGACACAGACACAGACACACACACACACACACACGTGTACACACCTCTGAGATGCCGCCTTGGATGCTCTTTGAGCGCTCGTATGCCGGGCCGCGCGGTTTCAGCAGCGCATTCGCTTTGCTCACAATCCACGCAAACAGCCGCCCGTACATTGCCTGAAGGAGGGATGGGTGCATGTTCGTATGAGTGAAGAAGGTGCGATGCGAAGGGGAAACAAAACAAAAAAAAGGGGGGGGGGAAGGTTGTACACAAGCACGCACGCACACACACACACACACACACACACACACACACACACACACACACACGCACAAGCACACGACCATCACGACCATCACGACCTTTGCAAGTGCGTCGCGGTTGTCCTCGGCCTTTTCGACGTTGAAGTTTTTCCTGAGGAGCTCGCCGCGCATCACTGTCGTCGTCGACACCAGCATCGGGCACAGCGTGTCCACAGGCAGCCCCAGCAGATGCGCAACTGGGCCGTGCGTGCGTGCGTGTGTGTGTATGTGTGTGTGTGCGTGTGTGTGTGTGTGTGAGCAATTAAAGAACAAAATACCTATACACACATGCACGCACACACAGACAGAGACACAGACACACACGACGTCACGGGTACCCACCTGTCTTGATGGGGCTGTCTGTTGAGATTTCAGCAAAGCTTGAGTCTGCCTCGTAGAAGTCCACATTTCCAAGATGCAACACAGCCGCAATGATGCCGTGCATGGACTACGTGCGCCGACCAAAAGCATGCGCATATGTGTGTGTTTGCGGTCAGAACGAAGTTAAGGTGTGTCGAGAGACCAAACGCGTGCACATCGCGGAACGGCGATGCGAGCAAGGAACAACGTGCGCATGCACATGCCCACACACCTCTGCTTCCTCGTGGGTGAAACCGATTCCCTCCATGACCTCCAGCAGGCTGTGGTACTGCGCAGTCAGCGCAGGCACATCTAACACAAAGACACACCAACAACAGCATAAAGAGTTGGAATTTCCATGGTTGTGGCTGTGTGAGCAGGTGGGGCGAGGGAGGGGGTTCGCAAACGAATACACAGGCGGTACACACGGGGAAACCAACCCAATTCCACCACACACACACAACGCAACAGACACACACACAGACACACACACACACACAGACACACACGTACACACACAGACACACACACACACACACAACGCAACACGGCACCATCCTGCATGCCACCACCACCACCACGGCGCGCACCAAGGTCGATGGCCACATCGCGGGTGAGGTGCTTGTGGCCGCCGCGCAGGTAGTGGAAGTCGGTGATGTCTGAGAAGCCAAAGCGCTCCTTGGTGTCCTGCGGAGCGCCGCCGAAGATGTAGTAGAAGACGTGGAAGTTCTGCTCGCCGTCCGCCTGCCGCACGACACGCGACTTCTCCAGAAGATACTCGGCCAGGTGCGCACCGAGCACCTGAGGGATGGGGTGGAGCATGGAGGGGGTGGGGTTTGAGCATGGTTGTGTGGTTGTGGTTGTGTGTGTGTGTGTGTGTGTGTGTGTGTGTGTGTGTGTGAGGGAGGGAGGGTGTGATGGAGTGTATGCAGCTGCGTAAAAGTGCAACTTTGCAAGTGTTCTTGTTGTGGCAATGCACAGGCGCGACCACACATGCTGGAAAGACAACCCCAGCACACACACACACACACACACACACACACACACACACACACACACACACACACACACACACCAGCACACATTGGCGACACTCATTCGCCCGCACGAGTGAGCAGTGCGCACCTCGCCAAAGTAGCCAAACTTGATCTCCAGGAATTTTCCAAAGCGCGACGAGTTGTCGTTGATGACCGTCTTGGCATTGCCAAACGCCTCGAGCAGCGGGTTCACCTGCGGGTGGCGCGGTGGATATGTTGTATTGCGTGCGAGTGAGAGAGAGAGAGAGAGCGGGTGTTGTGTGTGCATGTGTGTGTTCAAAGGTGAAGGGTGAACACGTTCGTTCGATGGAGGAGACGCGGTGTAGAAAGCTTGGACAAACTCACACACACACACACACACACACACACAACTTAACGCATGCAAACAACAGCAGGAACAGCAGCACACAAGGCCGCACCTCCACGATGCGCTGCTCGAGGGCGCCGGTGCCTTTGCACATGGACAGGAGATGCTCCACAATCAACTTGGCCGTCTCTGTCTTTCCCGCGCCGCTCTCCCCGCTAATCACGCAGCACTGCACACGCGCACACGCGAACGGCAGGCAGGCAGGCGTGTGTTGTGTATATGTGATATTGTGTGTGTGTGTGTGTGTGTGAGTGTGTGTGTGTTATCTGTGGTTTAGCGAGCGTCATCACATGCACAGCAACGAGGACAGCACCAATTCACACGTGCCAGACACATCGTGACACACACACCTGGTTTTTGTGGTTTGCGAGGAGCATCTTGTATGCGCTCTGTGCCACGCGGAAGACGTGTGGGATGTCACATGGCGGCGACGTGTGCAGATAGCGGTGATTCGCCTCCTCTCTGAAGCATCAGTCATCCATGCATATGCACATACGCGTGCAAACATACATGCGTGAGGACTACAGGCACAGCGCGAACACACACACAGACACACAGAGACACGGACACACAGGCACACACACAACAGAAGTCACCACGTGAGCGAGCAGCGCAGCACGTGCATACCCGTAGAGGCCGGATATGGAGTGAAAAGGATTGACGGCAATCAGGATGTCGCCGACGTTTGTGTAGATGAGGTCGTACAGATACCTACGCAGAGCACACGAGACACGAAGGAGAACAGAAACGTGTGGGAAACACACATGCAAGGATGTTCAACCGCTTTCGTACACACACACACCCACACACGTGCAGACACACACCCACACACGTGCAGACACACACACACACAACCATGGTGCCTTCCTCAAACACTCACACACATATCCCCTACCCCCACAAACCTGAGCTTGAGCTCCTTGAGGATGTTCTCTTCGTTGAGCTCGGAGAGCCGCGCAAGGTCCTGGGTGCCGTGGCGGTCGTCGAGCGGATCTGGCGCTGCATCGACCACGGACTCCACAGAGAGGCCCGAGATCTTGGAGAAGCGCCGCAGCGACGCCATCTTGTCCTTCGGCTCCATGCCCACCGTGATGGTTGGCCGGCTCTTTGGCCGGAACACCACCGACATGGCTGGTGCTACTGGTTCAGAATACGGGAATCGCGGTTCACAGGGGAGTGGGGGAGTGGGATTGCTCGCAACAAGAAGGAGCTGCCTGTTTCGTGTGCGTGTGTGCTTGGTGTGTGTGGGTTTGCCTCTTGTTTCAAACGTCTCCAATGACAATGACAATGCCGATGGCGATGTGGATGATGCTGAGCTGTACACGTACAGCTCGCTTTCTGTCTGTGGCTCGGGCTGTGGCTGTGGCTGTGCCACACAACTCCAGTGCCTTGTGCCGGCTGTTGGCTTGGTTTACCGTGCAGGTTGCAGGTTGTTGTTGTTGCTGTTCTTCGTCTTCTTTGCTCGCCAACAAGGCGCACCAATCAAATCACTCTCCTCTCAGTCAGCCCACTATCGCATCCGCAACACACCAACAGAAGCCAACGTTGTTGTGTGTGTGTGCGAAAAAAACGGATCTGTCTGTGCTTCTTCTTCTTCTTCTTCTTTCTTGCTTGCTTGCTTGTTGTCAGTTTTTGGTTTGTTTGTGTTGAGGGGGGCGGAGGCGAGAGCAGAGTATACGATTCGTTGTTGCGCTGCAAAAGGGAACTGTGCGCTTAGTGCGCAGTAAGACTACGCAGGCGGCGCTATCCACCATCATCGCATTCCGCCACACACAAACACGACAACAATCAGCAACGCACTCATCCTTCCAGCCAACGAGGACTGCCATCACCACCGACCCACCCAGACAAGACTCTCTCTTTGAAGCACAAAGCGGAGGAGCACACAGCGACAAACAGCCATGGCAGAGGGCATCCATGAGGTCAAGTACGACGACGGTGACATCTACAAGGGTGAGTGCGAATGGCAGCTTGATGGTGGAAGCAGGGAAGGACGCGAAGGTGGGGGAAAGGGGCGATGGAAACAGTGGCGCTTGTCTTCTTGTCATGTGTTAACTCCTTGGTGATTTGGATGCGCGATGTTGATCAGGTCACTGGAACGGCGATGGCAAGCGCGATGGCCTTGGCGTGGTATGTGTACCTGTGTGTGTGTATGAGGAGGAAGGAGGGGAGGATTGATCCGTGTGCTCTTTGGTTGGCTGATTTGCGCGCGTGTGTGTGCGTGTGTGCGTGTGTGCGTGCGTGTGTGTGTGTGTGTGTGCCCTTGCGTGCGTGTGTATGTGTATGTGTGTGTGCCGTGTGTATGTGTACGTGTGTGTGTGTGTTTCAGTTGCATTGTGCCTTAATGTCTCCAGCTCATTCGCATCGACTCTGATTCTTGTATTTTTGTAACAGCTCAAGTTTGCAGATGACACGACGTACAAGGGCGAGTTCTCCAACGGCATGAACAGCGGCTACGGCGTGCTCACCTTTGCTGATGGGGTGCGTATCACATGCATGTGTACGCAATGTGTATGTGTGTGTGTGTGCAATGTGTGTGTGTGTGTGTGTGTGCAATGTGTGTGCACTTGAATTCTGTGCAGATGCTCTTTGTGTGCGCTTGGTGTGCAGCTTGGCCTGCCAACACTGTTACTCACCCCCGTCCTCCGCACGCATGCGCACGTGCACACGCTTTCTTTGGTGGCTTTTATCTGCAGTCCAAGTATGAGGGCCAGTTCTCGGACGGCAAGTACCACGGCTACGGTGTGTTCTCGGGCAAGGACGGCATGAAATACGAGGGAGAGTTCAACGACGGCAAGGTGCGCCCCCGTGTGTATGCACATGTGTGCATGTGTGTATGTGTGTGCATGGAACGCTAGATTTCGTGCGAGTCAAACAACCCCTGAACATGCATCAACTCAACCGCAAACACCCACCCACACACACACACACACACACACACACACACACACACACACACACACACACACACACACACACACACACACACACACACACACACACACACACACACACACACACACACACACACACACACACACACACAAAACCGTGTGCAGGCCAACGGTGCGGGGAAGGTGACGTTCCCTGACGGCAGCCCCGGGCGCCCGCGACAGGAGGGCACGTTCCAGGACCGCAAGCTGGTGACCGGCGGCAAGCAGGCCGCAGCGGTGCGCCAGGCACAGGATGCACAGCAGATGGCGCAACAGAAGGCAAGCGAGGCAGCGGCACTCAAGTGAAGTGCGGCGGTGGCGACTGATGGTGATTGATGATGATTGACTGTGACTGATGGTGGTGATGTGCATGGAACAGGGGTTTCTTGGTTGGTTGGTTGGTTGGTTGGTGGAGGAAAGGTCTTTCTTTGACAGTGATGATGGTGATGATGATCCTTGATTTGCGGTCGTTGGTGGACCATGTGATGTGGGGGCGGCTGCTGTAGCGTTGGCCTCTCTGGACTTTGTCATTCACATTGCTAGTAGTGCGTGCGTGGGAGTGCTGTTGTTGCGGTCCTTGTTGTCTGTGAGGAGGTGTCAAGTAGGCACTGGTTGTGGGTGTCGTCGTCGTGTCCTGTTGTTGTTGTTGTTGTTGTTGTTGTTGATGTTGTGTTTCTTTCTCCTCCACAGTCCAATACAATACACACTGCAAAGAAGCACACGCATCAGTGCGTGTATGTGTGTGCAATTCATTGCCGCACGCACACACACACGCACACACACACGCACGCACACACACACACGGTTCCACACC